GTCTGGTCTTAACCTACCAAAAGTTATATTCTCAATGTCACTGCCAGTACAGCAAATAATTAGGATGCTGCCTCATGATACCCCCATTGCAAAGAGTACGTGTGAGTGTATTTCTTAATGAGCAAAAGTCCTATGAATCACAGGTTTGATTGGGGAAAATGCTCAGGATGAAATCCTGGCCCCATTGAAGTCAATAGCACCACTCCTATAGATTCCAATTAAGCCAGGATTTCACGTCCAAGCTTTCGGATGAGTATCTGAAGTATTTGCCTCTTTCATCCGCAACGATAGGTTAGAATTCTCATGAGATTTCAGAGAGTCCTCCTCCAGGTTGTTCCAGAAATGCCAAAAGGCCAGCTTTTCCTAGGAGATGGTAGCACATCTGTTACCAGTTTCAGCTGGACCCTAGAAATGCATGGGCACGCATGACGATGAAGAATAATGGGGGTGCAGTTGGGAAAGCCGATGAAGCTTTTTCAAACCTTTTAAAAGTTTTGGTGTCCATTTGGAATAATGTTCAGTTTATCTTTTATCCTATTTTGCCCATTGGTAACTGTGGTTACAGCTGACACTAAAAGGATATGTGGAGACACACAAAAATATTTTAAATTGATGGAACTTTTTCTAACTTCCCAAATGGTTCCTGTTCAGGTCAAGCTTTTTGACAGCGGTTCAGGTCAGTTCTAATATCCATATTTAGACTGTAAGCTCTTTAGGGCAGTGGCTGTCACTTATGATGGGTTTGTACAACTCCTCACACAAGGGGGTCCCCAGTCATGATTGAGGCCCTGCAGGTGCTTCCACATTGCACATAAATAAGAGGGTTAACTGTCCCCAGTGAATGTGTGTTTGGTTTCTTTTGAACTGAGAACAGTAATAATCCTTGGCCCAGCATTAGAACTGTCTGACCTTTCTGAAGTCATGGATTTGATCTGCAAGCCATGTTGTGCTGACAGTCTTCACAGAGTCGAAATTAAGTATTGTGTGACTGACAGGATTCCATTGCCAGGGCATTGCAGAACAAATCTGGTTGCACAAAAATTGATTCTGGAAGCAGAGCTACCAGTCATGCAAACTCTGTTTTTGTCTCAGTGCAACCTTTCTCTAAACTAGTCCAAAGTTTTTGAATCTGCACCTAAGATCACAATAACTTTCTTTTAAATTTATAATAACTCTGATTATTCTGTTACTGTTCTGCTTGGTTACTCTGATACCCTTAAATGCTGTTGCTCTCCTATTTTAAGTGAGACCCTCTTGCATCAAGTTTTACATCATATTTATTATTCTGTAGTCAGGATTTGCATACAGGTCTGGCCTTATAATGAGGCGAACTGAGGCGCCACTAGGACCCAGAGTGTACAAAATTGTGTCTGCTGCTGGTGCATATGTATTCTCTCTGCTCTAGATGCACAGAGATGGTGGAGTGCTGTGCTGGAGGAAGGAGGGCACAAGAGACATAACAGGCAGGCAGGAGAAAAGGTGAGAGGGAATAACAGAAAGCAGCAGGAGCTGCAGGGAGAGAGAGAGGAGGAGGAGCCTCTTATGTACCTCTCTAGCACCCGAGGAGCCTAGACTGATTAACACCAGCTTCTCAGGGAGCTTTCTGTTTCCTGCTGCTTCCCTGAACCCACTTGAGGAGAACAGGCAGTCAGCTGAAGTGGTAGGAGCCAGTTAGGCCCTTAAGACGCTGATATCTTCCCTCACTCAGGCTCTGCTACCAGCCTGCTTATTTGTCCCCTTCAATTGAGTCTTGAGAGCCACTATAGCTGGCACAGAACAGCAATCATGAGTGAAAGAAAAAAACGCCCCTCAGGGGCAGCATTCAGAAAAAAATAGAAAACAAAAGAAGCTTTTCTATCTAAGCAGGAAGGAGCTCTCCTGAGATACATAGACACAAATGTTCACGGTGAGCCTTCCGGACCCAGTGAGGATGTGAGTGGTGAGGAGATGCCTGATCTTCCAGTCAGTCAGAGTGCAGGTGACCTGGCAGCTACTGCAGCATCCATATCTCCATCTCAAATGGATGTAACCATGCACATTCCTGAAGAAAAGTGTGGATAAGAGAAGAGTGTGATGGAGGCGCAAGAAACAGCTGCTGCTGAGTTTAGTTCCTTAAGTCTAGATGATCCAGGACTGTGGACCCACTTGAGCAGTAGCCTGAGGGACTTCCTTGTACTGCAAGGAAGTTCCCCAAAGACAATGAAAATAGAAGTTTCCACCCAACACATTACTGGTGTGAAATCGCCAATGGTGGCAAAGTGGAGAGGCCATGTCTTATGTACTCAAAAACCCAGAATTCTGCGTACGGTTTTTGTTGCAAACTCTTCCAGTCTAATGTTCCAGCCACATTGGGTTCTACAGGAACAAAGGGCTGGAAAAATCTGGCTAGAAATCTGGCATTCCATGAGAAAGCAGCAAATCACCAGAGAGCATTCCATAAGTAGAAAGAGCTTGAGATGAAACTAAGGTTAAAGGCCACCATAGATGATCAGCATCAAGAGAAGAGTGCATCAGACTCTCTTTACTGGGAAAATGTTCTGAAAAGGCTCATTGCCATTGTGAGAATGCTTGCTACCCAAAACCTAGCACTGTGTGGCACTTCAGATCAGCTGTATGTGCCAAACAATGGAAACTTCCTTAAAATTGTGGAGCTGATGGCTGAGTTTGATGCTGTACTCCAGAAGCATCTAAGAAGAGTCACCATCCAAGAAATGTACACACACCACTACCTTGGAAAAACAATTCAAAATGAGATCATACAGGTACTGGCAACAAAAGTCAAACAGAGGATTGTGGCAGATCTGAAGTCAGCAAGATATTACTCTGTTATTCTGGACTGCACAGCTGACATCAGCCATATGGAACAAATGACTTTAATGGTGTGTTTTATAACCACAACAGAACCTAGTGAAAATGTGCCTGCAATGGTGACTGTCAGGGCATTTTCTAGAATTTATTGACATTGATGATACTACAGGAGCTGGTATGACAAATGTGCTTCTTAAAAAGCTGGAAGACACGGGAATTGCGATAGCTGACATGAGAGGTCAGGGCTATGATAATGGTGCCAACATGAGAGGAAAGATCAGAGGAATGCAGGCTCGGATCCGAGAGTTAAACCCCTGAGCTTTTTTTGTCGCATGCAGTTCTCATTCATTGAACTTGGTGGTCAGTGATGCAACATAAGCTTCTAGTGAGGTTGCTGAATTTTTTAATGTAATTCAAAGCATCTATGTATTTTTATCTGCATCAACTCATCAATGGCAAATTTTGAAGCAATATCTGGGAACATCCTCTCTGACACTAAAACCACTGAGTGCCACATGATGGGAAAGTCAAGTGGAGGCGATTAAAGCCTATCAAACACAAAATTGGGAAGATAGATAATGCCATAGTTGCCATTATGGAGGATAATGCTATGACGGGACCTGTTCGTGGGAGAATAGTGGCAGAAGGAAATGGAATCACCAGAAACATAACTTCAAATTTCTGTGTGGCTTAGTGTTGTGCCATGACATACTATTTGAAATAAATGTTGTAAGCAAGAGACTTCAAGGTGTTGACTTTGCTATATCTGGAGCAATGGAACAACTAGACAAATCAAAGTCATACCTACAGTCTTACCGGTGAGATGAGGGATTTCAAAACGTTCTGAAGAGTGCACAGAAGTTGGCAGAGGAATTTCACACTGAAGCTATTTCCCACCCATTCAAGAATACAAGAGTCACCGAAGAAGAAGACATTTTTGATTACGAGGCATGGGGTAATCCCGTAAGAGACCCCAAACAACAATTCAAAGTTGAATGCTTTAACCAGGTGCTAGATTGTGCAATAGAGTCAGTTGAAGAACGTTTCATGCAACTCAAGGAACACAGCAGTATATCTGGGATGTTGTATGATATTCCAAAACTCCTCACTATACCTGAAGAAGACCTACATCAGCAATGCAGGGCACTTGAGACAATGTTGACACATGATGACATGCACGATATTGATGCGAGTGATTTAGGTGATGAACTAAAAGCCCTTTCAAGATACGTTTCAGCAGGATCAACTCCAAAGGCTGTTCTAGAATATATGTGCACAAATAAGATGACCACCCTCTTTCCAAATGCTTTTGTTGCTCTGCGCATACTTCTAACACTTCCTGTAACATTTGCCAGTGGAGAACGCAGCTTCTCCAAGCTGAAGTTAATAAAAACACATCTACGCTCCACAATAACACAGGAGAGGCTGGTCGGCCTTGCAACATCTCAACAGATCATGAGCTGGCCCAGACTGTGGACCTTCAGCAGGAAGCAGTTCAAATCTTTTCAAAAAAGAAGGCACGGAAAGCACCACTTTGATTATTCGAACAGATAAAAATGCCAGTGTTTACTAAGCAGACAAGAAAAGTTACGTTTACTGTTCAGGCGTTTGAAAGTTAAGTGTTACTTAAAATTTTTGAACAAGGCATTTTAAGTTGTTAGTTCTCCTTTATTGGGGTAGGTAGCAAAGCAGTACCATGAGAGGAGTAGAACAGGAAGAAGGCAGAACTGAGACCTTTCAAAGTTTTGGCCCAAGCAAGGAGACACGGGGGCATCATTTGAGCTCACCACCTCAGGTGCCAAAATGTTGTGGGCTGGCCCTGCTTGCATACATGCACTGAACAACAAAATATTCTTAGGAAATATTACCAAAAATTGTTGAAGCTCAAATCATTTTTCTTGGCAAGTTTTTAAAACCCAAGTGAACTGAAAACCCAGACAACCACCTTGCTTTGTGGTGTTGACTGATTTGAATTGCAAGACAAATAATTTGTTAGTTTTTACCTACCTAAAATACCTTGTAAATATTTCAGTTTTAACTATATTTAAGTCACAATCTGGATTTATGTTCTATTGAATCTATCCACTAATTTGATTGCATAAGATATAATCTCTCATGAGATATAGCTTGTTGTGCGTGTGTTTCTAACTCTTTATATGTAATTGTTTCTTTGTTTTTATCTACCGACACAGGAGAAGAAAACTTGCTGGCAATTTTGAAACGGAGATGGTGGAAGTACATGATCCTGGGGATAATAGATATAGAAGCCAATTACCTAGTAGTCAAAGCTTACCAATACACCACTCTTACTAGTGTACAGGTAAGTACTCAAATTATTTCCTCTCTCAGGGTTTGATTCTGCACCAAGTCAATGGTAAAGTCCCCATTCACTTTAACAGGGCAGGATCAGGAACCCAATTACTTCTTTGTCCTCCTCTTTATGATGTCTCACACTCATAAAATGATGTCTTTTTTGTTTTAATCTTTTGCTAATTTTAATGCTGACCATTCTGCAAGCTGTAGAAAAATAAAATGTTGTGTAACTTACTCATTCTCACATTTTGGGGCTAAGCTGCTTGGCTTGGTCCTTTAATAATATATTTTAAAGAGTAAATACCCATTTGTGTAGACTCAGTTTGCAATTGGAAAATTACAACCCCATTTTTGTCAATGCCCTCAATCAAGCAATCAAATGCATTTCTTTCAGGCACAGTTTGCCCTGTCCAAATATCACCAAAAAATCCCAAGACAAAACCCCATAATTCTCCCCCCAACACACACACACAATAGGAACAGTCTTCTTTAAAGGTACAGCCTGTAAATTTTAAAGATTTAGGTTTTTTCCATTGTAGTAGAGAAAAAGTAATAGAAATTCATAATGGAAAATGTATATCTCTGGACATGGCTACACAAATTGATGTTGATCATTCAGAAATAAAACACATTTGCACTCTATATAATGTCTAAATAGCATGGCACCCTTAGATATTCTGATCGTATTTATACCTTACTTGCCTGAAACTTGCTATAAAGCCAGTAAAATAAATAAGCAGCAGTTAGTGTCCTGAAAAAGCAGAGATAATTAAGAACATATGTCTTTCTTGGTTGAGTGAGCAGTGTTGGGGGAAAAAACTGAATTTTGCCTGAATAAGAAGCAAGAATGGGGGAAAACTGCAGTTTTAAGGATTATATGAAACACTTGAAATCAATGTGAGTAACTATAAGTGCTCCTGTTGCCAGAATTTGGCTTTCAGACTTCTTTGAAACACAAATACATATTTAAAATTACCTGTAGCACCTTTTCAAAGGAGAACCTAATGAAGTGAGCTGTAGCTCACGAAAGCTCATGCTCAAATAAATTGGTTAGTCTCTAAGGTGCCACAAGTACTCCTTTTCTTTTTGCGAATACAGACTAACACGGCTGATCCTCTGAAACAAATAACTCTGTTATTTTATACCTAGTGGAATGGAAAAATCTATCATAATAAAACCAAAATCAGTATTACTATTTTTGTATAGATCTCCCTGAGCCAACTTCTACACTACTTATAAAGGCACACAGCCCCCTGTACTTGGTCTTTATAGGTCTTTGTATCTGTCTATGTTTCTGCCTTTCTCATCCACCCACATAAATGTGCTTCAGCAGCCTGGTTTGTGAATTATTTGTCCAGTTCTAAAAACTGGGTAAGTAACTAAAATAATTAATTCAAATATCATGACTGTTGTCAAATTAATTACTTTGTTGTTTAGGTCTAGACTCAATATTCACATAAAGTATATTTTTTTGAACTTCAGTTTCCTGGTACTGCATTTACAAGATATTACATCATGCTCATCTTACCAGTGTTATAAAGTTTCCTATTAAACGTATTGTGTGTGATACAAACATACATACAAACATACATAACTTTGCCTTCCAGCTCAGTTCTTCCCCGTTTTATCAAACAGCATTATGAGACAGATTCTGTTCCCTCTCTCCATTTACTCATACTCAATAGTGCTTTTTTTCCCAGCAAGCGGCCCCATTCATTTCAATGAGATTGCTTGCAGAGTTTGGTGTAGTTCACCATGAGTAAGGGATCTGGCTCTGTTTCATTAGATGAATAACCCTTTCCAATCTGGTTGGCCTCAGAATAACACTCTTACCTTTCTCCGAGATGGTAGAGCATCGGTCTCTGTAAATGTTTATGTGCTTCATGATGCTGGCAGGAAACAAACTTTGAATACATGGGTGCTGAACATTTGAAAGTCTGGCTTTGAGCTCTTTTGAAAATCTGGACCCAAATGTCTAAAGACTGAGAAACTCACATTCATTTCCAAAATCCAGGTCTTCAGCACAGCAGCCAAACATCATCTCACCACTTAGGCTAGCCCTGATTAGTCTCTGAGTCTTATCTACATGCAGTGCAGTACATGCTGTTCTGTTGTAGTATTTGGTATTAATTGTTTTCCTTATTTCACATCAAACAACTCTTTAGGCTGCTTCTTCAAAGCTCTGTGCCACAGTACTATAGTGTATGCATACGGAGCCATCAAAAAAAGACCATTGCAGAAGGGAGAGCCATTTTTCTAAATGGTGATTTATATGGTAATTTATTCTTTGGGCACTCAAGCCTTTGACTGGCATGATAAAAACGAAGATAGTAAAACCTCAGATTTATAGACATCTGGAGACCAACAATAAAAGTATGTTCTTTGAGTTATTTTCCCTGTGGGTGCTTCCACTTCAGGATGTGCGTGCCTCCGTGCACTGTTGGTCATAGATTTTGTCAGCAGTGTCCATTAGTTTGCCATTGTGCCCTGCACATTCTTGTGCTCCAGAGCGAGGATAAATATATATGAAGGGCAGGCCCACTGTGGCTCCCATTCCTTCTCAGTTGCCTGTGGCTTGATGTGGAATGTCACAATGTCCATTTTAGCTGTCCATGCAGCTTGCTGTTTTCTTCTCTTAATTGTTCTCTTTTTTCCTTAGCTTTTCTTTATTTTTGGTTATTTAGCAAAAATGTGTGCTTGGGCGGAGGGGTTCCCCCTTTCCTCCTTTTTTTGCCTGGTTGGGACAGCATTCTGACTCATCCTCCTCTAGCTTTCCTAAACTGTTATGCCCAAAAGTCTGGACTTCAAACCCTGACCAGGTCTTTGCCCTGCAGCAACGGGCATTCTATCTGCCTCCACTGCCTTGGAGAGACTCACATCCCTTCCAAATGTAAGGTCCGCTCTGGATTCAAAAGCAGATGCAGAAAATGGAGGAAGGACCAACTATAACTCCATCTTATAGAGCATTTTCTGAGACCCACAGGGTCCAGATCTCTCCACCCCCATATTTTGGCTTTACTGCCCAGTGCACCTCTGTGAATATTTTTGCTTTGGTAAGCAAAGACCCTGGGGATCCTTCAGAGTTGTCTGGACATTTAAAAAAAGAGACCCCATTCTCCAGAGGAAGAAACCAAGAGAAGGGCTAAGTCACCTCTCAAACTGGAACCAAGGAGACTAAATGACCTGGCATGTGTGCCACTGATGCTTCTATCTCCTCTAGTACTGAGATCTGGCACTGACTAAAAAGACCACACCGAATACTGAGAAGCCTTCTAGTAAGCAACCTCAAGTAGTTTTACTGTCAGTACCAGACCCAGTGCCTCTGGAGTGTTACCTGCACAAAATTCTCTATTACACACACTGTAAGGCACCCAATTTTAACCTAAAGTTGTTGCCCGCACACTCTAGGACATCCCACCTCTACCTAGTTCCTAGGGCTCAAGGCGTAACCCGGTCAACTTAGGCACCCCCACCCTTTCCCAGTTTCTAAGGTTCCAGGCAAAAGGCACCTAACTTTACTCCTCTCTGGGCTCTGCTCTTCCACGGGCTCAGAGCAAGCACCCATTCCTTGTGGGCTGAAGGCTTAATCTTTTACAGGTTTACGGGTTTTTTACCAGTGAAAGAGCCTTACACAGTAATATCCTACTTAACCTCTATTTATTAACAATTATCAAAAAGGAATGTACCTGCTAAGCATACAATGCTCACCACTCCCAATAAGGCAGATGAACATTTCTTGATGGATAGTCAGGATCAGGTCATCTGGGGAACTCCAGCTTCTGCATAGTGTGATTGGCAGGGTGTGGAGGTCTGGCAGCTCTGATCTTGGGGCTGTGTCCTGGAGTTGGAGGCTAGTTCTGGACCACAGGAGTTTGAACACCTTCATCCTCTCTCAACAGTTCAGAATGGTAACCCTGCCAGATATAATTTCCTCTTTGGAAATCGGAGATTGGTTTGTCTCCCTTGATCTTCAGGCTGCCTGGTTTGTTTTTTATAGCCATACACCTGTCCCACAGACATTTTCTATGCTTTGTCATTGGCAGAGACCACTACCAATACGGTGTCCTACTTTTAGGCCTCTCCACTACCCCAGGGTCTTTACCAAGATCCTTTCAGCCACAGCAACCCATCTCTGCCAGATGGAAATAATTATCTTTCCCTGCCTGGATGACTGGCTTGTAAAGGGTCACTCATTTCTCAGCAAGCAACAAGATCCTACCCCTATTCTTCTACTTGGGCCTCAGCTTCAGCTTGGAAATGTCAGCTCTCACACTTACACAATGAATTGCCTTAATTGGGCCCATTGTGGCCTTCACTACCACCAGAGCATACTTACCCACACTTACATACACAGGTTTGCTACAATTCCCAGCCTTATTTCCACAATACAGTAGAGCCCACAAGCCACAGTGAGGGCTTGCCTTCAACTCCTGGGCCACATGGCAGCCTGTACATTTGTAATATCTTTTTGGCAAGACTACACTCCTGCTATCTTCAAACTTGGCTGAGAACAGTCTAGACATCCAACAAACAAAGTCTATCCAAGCAGGTGTCAATACCTCAAAGGGTCCTCAACTGTTTCAATTGGTAGAAGAATCCCCAAAAGATCTATGTGGGACTTCCATTCCTGCATCCCCACCCTCCTGCAAAAATCATCACAACAGATGACTTCCTGCTGGGCTGGGGTGCACATTTTCAGGACTTCACAGCTCAAGGCAAATGGATCCACCAGAAGACCACCCTCCATATCAGGGCAGTCCATTATGCCTACCATCATTTCTTACCCCACGTCGGGGCCACTTGATCAGAGTAATGCTGGACAACAGAGCAGCAATGTATTATATATAAATCATCAAGGAGGAACAAGATGGAGAAAAGTTGTTCTCTCTTGCCACAGAGGCAGGACAACAAGCAATAGGTTCAAACTACATCACAGCAGATTTAGATTAAATCTCAGAAAAAACGTCTTAACTGTAAGAACAGTAGGACAATACAACGGACTGCCTC